CAGATTAAAGCTGGCGTACCCCAAGGCAGGATCCTGGGACCCACCTTATTTTTGATGTATGTCAACGATGCTGAGGCCTGTCTTTCCCCATCAACGCAAATGGGTGTGCACGCAAATGACACCACACCGTACGTATATAATATAACCCAACTAGTTGATTATATGGGAAATATAAACCTGTATACAAACTGAGGCGAAGCCGAGTCTTCCTTTCCCCAACCTGTGCGGATCAAGTACAAGACTACCAATGACTCTGTGCAGTGCATGCAGTTCTAGTGCAGTACCATCACACACTCTTTGTGACTTCAGTTTAGTACTGAAGTACTAGTAACATCGGAAGTAACAGCTATGTGCCAAGTAAGTTAGTTTGAACCTCACAGTGCTAGTGACCGTTACCGCGCGCAGATCTCACCGCGGGCTCTGTAAAAGAACCGTTTGCTCATTAGAGACATAGAGTTCGTCTCCTTTCCAAAGTAAGAGTAAAGTGAATCAGCACGAGCCTGTTGAATCGACTCCCAAACGTTTCTTTAGTTCTTCTGAGGACGACCACGAATCACGATGCCATTATTCAAGCAGCAGTTTCCAAGAACACTGGCAGTGCCACGGATTATGGCTGCGCATGTTCCGTCCGCTCTGCGAGGGATGCGGAAAGGAGAACATCGATTGGAAAACCATCAGTAATGAAGTTCCGTCGCGCCTGCTATCTGCATTCTATGTCTATGCAAAAACGCAGGAGGAGCGGCACGCGGGGCTCTTCAACCGCACATGTCGAGTGCTGCGCTTGACAGACAGACTGCTGAAACAGCAAAAGAAGGACAGCCTCGAACGTCAGGTGCAGCACAAGGCACCAGTTTCAAAGGACGACGTTGTTTATCTTCATCGTTGACGGGAAAGATATCCTGAAGTTGGGACCGTCGTGCATGTCGAAAACCATCAAGGCGGACTGCAGGTCACTAGTGTAATCCTAAAAAAAAAGGAGTTTATATACCAGTTTATCACTCTCTTATTATTGACCCCCACAGAAACTTGTGATCTCTAAGCGGTCAAATATCAGCATATATTGACCACTTATTATCGACCACTTAGCCCGAGGACTTAGAACTTTTTCCTCAAAAAATCAGAACTGAAAGAAGAAAAATCTGAAGCCAAATGCTGGGATTTGAACCCAAACTGTGAAATTCTTAGTCAAAGAACTTGGGGAACATACTACAAGAGACAACTGAAAACTTCGGTTTACACAGAAGTAATGTCCAATGTAAACGGCATATGTACATACTATTATACTATTACAATAGTATTCCTTTCTTCCTATAGCAAATCAAAAACAGTTTTAGGTATGCTATGTCGTGATAAATCTATTATTGCCCTCATAATCGGTCAATATATGAAATATAGACCTCGTCAAAGACCTCGGGGGACCTCGGTCTTTGACTCGTTCTATATTCATATATTGACCTCTTTAATCGTGCAATAATAGATACTTATACACCAGTTTATATGTATAATTATATTATAACAAGGGACCGAGTTTATATCGAGAAATATAGACCAGTATAAAAACCGAGGCGAAGCCGAGGTTTTTATAACTGGTCGATATTTCTCGATATGCACGAGGTCCCTTGTTATAATATATTTATACCTCTCCATGCGCAAGCTCAAGAGCAAAAAGGAGTGAATATAGCTTTCTTTCCTTAAAAAGGAGTGAATATAGCTTTAGAGAAAGAAAGCTATATACACTCCTTTTTAGAGAAAGAAAGCTCCTCAGTGAGTTTATTTCTGATGGTTTTCCTCAGTGATGTATATACCTCCTTAGTGGTGTATATACCTCCTTAGTGGTGTATATTGAACAGTGTATATGGAAATTTATAAACTTCATGGGAGATCTGGTATATGAGTGTGGGTGTATATGGAGTGAGGTATAAACCAGTTTATATACCAGTTTATATTCTCGTCATCGAAGTACCTGTTATATGCAAAATACAAGTCTGGAGTGTTGTGTGGGGAGAGATGGGAGTTTGTATACAAGCTCAGTATATATCATCTTATCACTCTCTTATTATTGACCCCCACAGAAACTTGTGATCTCTAAGCGGTCAAATATCAGCATATATTGACCGCTTATATTGACCACTTAAATATTATTGACCACTTAGCCCGAGGACTTAGAACTTTTTCCTCAAGAAAAGAACTGAAAGAAGAAAAATCTGAAGCCAAATGCTGGGATTTGAACCCAAACTGTCAAATTCTCAGTCAAAGAACTTGGGGAACATACTACAAGAGACAACTGAAAACTTCGGTTTACACAGAAGTAATGTCCAATGTAAACGGCATATGTACATACTATTATACTATTACAATAGTATTCCTTTCTTCCTATAGCAAAGCAAAAACAGTTTTAGGTATGCTATGTCGTGATAAATCTATTATTGCCCTCATAATCGGTCAATATATGAAATATAGTCCTCGTAAAAGACCTCGGGGGACCTCGGTCTTTTACTCGTTCTATATTTCATATATTGACCTCTTTAATCGTGCAATAATAGATACATGCGATCCAGAAATGACTCTGCTGGCAGTATTGCAGACATGCAATCTAGCCTGGATCGATTATGTAGCTGGGGAGAACAATGGTGGGTTCGCTTTGAGCCAACAAAGTCGCAGCTGCTGCATATTGGCCACCACCGCAACCGCTGGCCACTCCCAGAACTAACATTCGGAGCCCATGATATTCCATGCGGGGACGACCTTCGACAGCAAACTCACCTTCAGACGCCATCTTCGCAATGTTTCTCTTCGTGCTGTCGACCGTCTAGGATTTCTGCATCGAGCATCAAGTTTGCTTGATCGTGAAGGACGCTTGACAACGTACAAAGGCTTCGTACGCCCTGTACTCGAATACGCACCATTGATATGGATGGGCGCAGCCAACTCTCACCTGCAAAGTCTCGACCGAGTACAGCGGAAGGCCCTTTCTATCACTGGTCCTCACGCCTTGCTGCAGAGGCTAGCTGTCCGCCGCCAAATGTACGCTCTAACGTAAGTAGAAAGTATTAGGCGTGTACCAACTCACTGACGTCATCGATGACGTCATAGCGATTTAACCCTAAAAACCGGGGCGTTTTAACCCTATTTTTTCCGATTTACGGCAAATTTGTGCGATTTACGGTAAATGTTTGCGATTTAACCTAAAATCGGAGCGTTTTACAAATGACGTCATCGATGACGTAATGCGATTTAACCCTAAAAACCTGGGCGTTTTAACCCTAAATTGTGCGATTTAACCCTAAATCTGTACGTTTAACCCTAAAAATCGCGGCATATTAACCCTAATAATCCCTGTAACCCTAACCCTATCACCATGACGATAACCCTAACCCTAGGGCTATCACCATAGCGATAACCCTAGTATTCCTGACGATGATAACCCTAACCCTATCAACATGACGATAACCCTAACCCTAGGGCTATCACCATGGCGATAACCCTAATATTTCTGATAACACCATAACCTGTAGAAAAAAAAAAAGAAAAAAAAACCCTAATAATCCTGACACCATGGCCATAACCCTAATATTCCTGATAACCCTATCACCATGACGATAGCCCTAATATTCCTGATAACCCTATCACCATGAAGATAACCCTAATATTCCTGATAACCCTATCACCATGAAGATAACCCTAATATTTCTGGTGACTATAAGCCCACCAATAACCCTAATATTTCGAGAGACGATAACCCTAGTAGCCCTCGTAACCCTATCACCATAACAATCCTATTGCCATGTCAACTCTACTCTTTTTATGTGTGCAGGTACTACAGATCACAACGACAACAACAACACTCAGCAAACCCTAATAATCATCTTATGTGTGTACAAGTCCTATATGCCCTATTAGCAAATCTTGTTGTTACGTACACAGATCCTATCGTTATTCATCTTATGTGTGTACAGGTCCTATATACCCTATTAGCAAATCTTGTTGTTATGTGTACAGATCCTATCGTAATGCTAACACAACCACCATCGCAACCCCCATCAACTCTTTGATGACGACCGTAACCACCCAATCACCATCACATACGGGTCTACAGGTACTGGAGAGATGTGGAAAAACATCCTCCCCCCGATTTACCTAACAGCAAGACTTAGTAAACTATTTTACTTACCTTGCACGAATTTATACAACAATTCAATCGGGGGGAGGATCATGCTCATCACCAGGTAAGATGCACATGTGCATTCACACGCGCAGATGTATGACGATAGTGTTGTAGCTGCAAACGACGAAAAATTACGAACAAATAAATCAAACGCTGCAAAATTACGAAAAAATAAATATGTCTATATATGGAATCAGACTACGAGCAAGAATTGTGTACGATCCTAATCGGATAGACATGCAATGGCCGACGATCACATACCTTGTACGAAGCAATGCTGCAAGGAGATGAAGAGGGATATCCGTCCGTCTCTTGTCCGACTAAGCGACTAGGCGAAAATAATTCCAGGACTACATGAAAAAAGGAACACTGTCACTACGAAATGATTTGAGGAAATGAAGATTGCTTCCATATACGTGCACACCACTTGCTCCGACGAGTTTGAAATTTTCAAGTTCGTACGCATCAAACCACAAAGCCAGGCAAAACGGGAGCCGCGTACCGGATACGCATCAAAAGCTCGCCCGAGCCCTCGCGTCTCACGTACGCGGGTCAAAAGGTTACGAGGAGTGCGTCGTACGCGCCCACACTATCTAAAGGGAGTAGTAAAAATGTTTATTTTACTCCTCGCTATGCTCAGAGTACACACAGCGTACTCCGATCAAGCAAAAGTTTCTGGAATCAACTAGAACCCACGACAAATTTGGACGCGTTCAAACAGAACGCGGACGAAGTACTCTAGATGCTTTTCCTTTTACTTGCTCATAATTTATTTTCCTTCGATGAAGAAAGGTGGAAGTAAGTTTGTTTAGTTGAAAGTACATTTAGCTACAAGATGTCTCAACCAAGCCGAGTGATGCGAATGTTCGAGTTCGAGCTCGAGCATAATGCGAGAATGCTCAGGAACTACGTCTGCCATCTTGGTGCTGGAGAGTACCAGGATGCTAGCGTTTTGTTGCAGCTGATGGACAGGAGCCTCAGTGAGCTGCTTCGCGATGACGTCCTCGAGTTTGGGAGATACAAAGTAGCTATTGTCCTTCAACTGCGCTTGTTGAAGCAGGATGGTGTCACCGGTGACAAGGTGTTCATCAGCTTCTTCGTGCGCACGCGAACCACCATCATCCTGAATGATGATGATGTTCGTTACAAATTGGATAGTGCTGCAGCAGAGATCGATGCTCAAATCGATGAGTTTGTCCGGAATGGATCGGGGTGGATCGTGGATCACGTCGAAGCCGTATATCTGGAATTGTCGAAATTTGAGCCGATGGGAGGTGGAACGTTCATCCATCTCCCCCAGCACATCAAGGCTAAGACAGCCTGCCTCAATGTCATCAACAACGACGATCAGTGTTTGCAGTGGGCTCTGCTGGCCGCAAAACATCACGAGGATGTTGGTCCAAACAACATTCGAGTATCGAAGTACGTTCCATACGTCGACGAGCTGAACTTTGCCGGTGTAGAGTTTCCAGCTAGTATGTGTGCCATCACGACGTTGGAGCAGAACAATGTCGATCTCGCCGTCAACAATTTCGGCATATCGGATGATGGGAAGACTGTCGTTCCGCTTCGTCTGACCAGAAAAGGCGATCCTCAGGAAGCCATCAATCTGCTCCTGTTTTCTGGTCAAACTGAGGACGAACGTAACGTGCAGCACTGGGTGTTCATCAAGAACATGAGTCGTCTGGTACACAACAAAAGTCATCATTCACGGAAGGTGTGCTACCGGTGTCTGAACGTGTTGAGTACTCAGACGGCTCTGGAGAGTCACCAGCTGCATTGTAAAGACCATCTCATCGCGCGGGCGGTGATGCCGCAGAAGGGTGAAAAGCTGCGTTTCACGCAGTACGAGAAGCAGCTTCGTGCACCGTATGTGATTTATGCTGATTTCGAGAGCATCATCACACCTCATGCTGAGCCTAAAAGCATTGGGGGGAAGACGAAGCAGCACTCGGAGCACATACCCTGTTCTGCCGCATACATCGTCATGCGCAGTGATGGCACCGTGACGGATACGTTCCAGCATACGGGCGAAGATTCAGTAGAGCAGTTCCTGACCTCCCTGGAACTGCAGGAAGTCTCCATTCGTGAAGACTTGGAGAATCGTCGCCCTATGAACCTGACGCCTGATGAGGAGGCTGGTTTTCTCAGCGCCAGGGATTGCTGGATATGTAAACGTCGTCTCGGAGGGGATCGTGTGCGTGACCACGATCACATGACGGGTGCGTTTCGCGGAGCAGCGCACAACTCCTGTAATCTTCAGCTGCGCATCGTACCCGGCAAGGTGAACATCCCGGTGGTGTTCCACAATCTCAGGGGGTACGACGCGCATCACATCGTCAGTCATCTCGGTAAAACGAAGATTGACGAAGTGACGTACCAAGATGCTGGAGACAAGGAGCACACGGAGCAGCGCGGCTCCATCAACATCGTTCCGTCCAACATGGAAAAGTACATCGCTATGATGTGGCGGCAGTTCGTGTTCATCGACTCGTACGCTTTTCTCAGCACTTCGCTGGATAAGCTTGCGAAGGCAACACCTGGAGAAGCGTTCGTCCGCATGCGTGATCTGCATGAGGGGGATCCCGAGAAGACGGATCTTCTGCTGCGGAAAGGTGTATACCCGTACGAGTACATGGACTCGTTCAGCCGCTTCGACGAGGAGAGTCTCCCCCCACGGGAGAAGTTCTACTCGTCGCTGTCCGAGGCACACATCACCGATGACGAGTACCGTCACGCGCAAACCGTCTGGAGCAGGTTTGATTGTGTCACTCTGCGTTATTATCACGATCTTTACCTGAAGACGGACGTGTACTTGCTGGCGGATGTATTTGAGAACTTCCGCACCACCGCCATCGCCACGTACTCGCTAGATCCGGCCAACTACTACACGCTGCCCGGGTTTGCGTGGAGTGCGCTGCTCAAGGTGTCCGACGTCAGTCTGGACCTGCTGTCTGACGTGACGATGCACACCTTCATCGAGCACGGCATCCGCGGTGGAATCAGCATGAGTGTGCAGAGGTACGCTAAAATCCCTAAAATCTGCGCTGACTTTCAAACTTTATGAAAAACTGTTGACCATGTGTCAGAGGCCAATTCTTGCCATAGATTGTTCTAAGAACACCTACTCAACTTATTGTGATGTATAAAGTCATAAAGTTAATTTCGAATGAGTCGGTCTATTTTGTAAACTCCTTTACTTTTGGCCTAAAACTTAGCCTAAATTTTAGCCTGAAAACCACCTCAAAATCTAGCGCAAATTTTGGCCAATTCAAAAAAAATAATAAATATTAATAAAAATAATAAAATAAACCTCATATACATTTTGAGTACGCTCGGTGCGAGTCATGGGCCACTTACTCTTACAATTTTCATCGGGGTTACCCAGCACTATAAGAGCTATAAATAAAAAAGGGGTTGTTCAGAATACCGAAGAAGAAACGACTTCTCGTTCTAAAGCACATTCTGGCCCCATTCTGGCTGGGCTGCCCGGCTGCTGCCCCCCCCCCCTCCCCCCGGCTGCCTGGCTGTCCGGCTGCTGGCTGCCTGGCTGTCCGGCTGCCCGGACGTGCCTCCGGCACGCTCGAACGCGCCTCTGACGTGCCGATGGCTGTCGATCGCATGCGATTTTCGCATAGTCGTATAGGATACACTGCAAGTCTTGATGCTGTGAGTGAAAGTTGTCGATCAGATGGGATAGAGGGTACGTCTCCCAGCAATAGGCACCGACGATAGAGATTAGAATTTTAGCATCACCGTCGCTCAGGTTTTGTAGATTTCTACGAGCGGTCGTCGCGTGTTGCGGTGTGAGCTGGCGCGAGCTCTCCATGAAATGAAGACACCAAAGGAGAGAAAATCTCACCGGCAAGGGTTTGAACATTCGCGCAAACCGTAGCCAGGAAACGTTGCTGCGTGGAAGGAAGGCGCGTAAACGCTTCTGAACGATATAATTGCAATCGAATAGGAGACACGATAGTGCAATAGCATAATTGAGACTTTTGTACAAACAGGATTTCTTCAGAGAATGTAACGTTTCTTACAGGGGATGAAGGTTGAAGTGAGCTGAGAGAAAGTCACCAATGTTTGTTTTCTTCAGAAAACTAATCAGATGCCTGTCGACGCCTAGAAGGCGCTGTCGAGATTGATAGCATCTTTTTTCTGGCATGCACCGCTTTTGAAAATCATGCTCCGGTGCGTAGACGTGCTGATCGATCACGTGCGCACACGACGTGCACACGTAGTGTCCATCTATCACTGCCTCGGTCACGTGATTGCAACCATCATCACGTGCCGGAGAGCCCTTTGGCTGTCGAACGTAATTGATGAGCGCATCGAATTGATCACACAGGTCCATGATGTTCGGGAAATGGCGTCGATGCACCGTCTGCATCCGTCTATAATGCAGAGCCGACGAGTGTTCATTGGCCGTAGGAGTCGATATAAAAGACTCTGCTTGCTTTCGTCATGCATCATTATGCTCGTCAACAGGGTTAAGGTTGCATGCAATTTTTGGAGTGAGTAAGTGTTTCAGATCAGGAAGGTTCTATTCACAGATCCGGTTACGTATCAGTTGGAAGATCTAAAAGGTGAGGAACTTACAGGCGGTTTCTATGAAAATGAATTGCAACGAGCTAAAGAAACCGGACTGAGACTGAACAAAGTGATTCAAACGAAGCGCAATACATCTCTAGTATCTTTCAAAGGCTATCCAGCCAAGGTGGATGAATGGCTAAGAAAATCGGAAGCTAATCGATTGCGTAAGAATAAAATATTGTGAGAATCAAATATTATGAGAACACTATGTATTTCATGAAGTGAGCGAATGGTCTGTCGCTACGCTAAGATGTGTTATGCCGGTATCTTATAATGGCCATACGCAAGTGTGCTCACACCGTCGTCGAGGATGTACCTCTTGCTATCGAACGGTGATAGCGCCACTTTGCGGATGGTCTCACCATAGATGTGGTGATTCCGGCTGCGCAGCACATTCATCTCTCTCTCGATGCTCTGCTGATCGGGTAGAAGGCAGTCCTTGTACGTCGAGAACTGCAGAGTATCGTTCACGACGGACTTCTTCACGCCCTTCGCACGCTTTGCTGACTCTTCGCCGGTGTACGCGTACATCTTTGAGCGAAGCCCCACGAACTCGCTCATGATGCGTCCACCCAGCTCATCCTTGAACTTGCCGGCGACTTTCTTGTTTGCGAGGGAGTGCAGAGGATGGTCAGTCGGATAGTTGGATGTATTGTACTGACCCATCATGTCACTCATGTCCGCATACAGGTCGGCCGTGGCGTACTGCAGGATGAACGAGTCGGTGTCCGTGTAACACAGCCGTACGTTCTGACCATAGCGTGGCTTCAGAGTGTCGTAGAAGAAGCTGTACATCAGCACCTTCGACAACTCTAGGATGGAGAAACCCACGTAGATAGGTTTGTTCAAGTGAACTTTACACTTGAAGAACTCCGCCGCCACCAGGTCGTTGTCGTACACGATACTGCGCTTGTACGTTCGCTTGGCGATGGCGCGCCGCAGCCTGTCCACCTCTTCTTCCGAGCGGACAAGCTTCAGGTTCAAGCGGCGCCGGACGTTCTCCATCGTCTTGCCAAACACTGCATTGTTCATGAGTTTGTAGAAATCTTTCTCAAACTCCGATGCAGCATTCGTACGCAGATCGGTGTTCAGCTGGATGTACGAGCGCATCCACGGACGCTGCGTGAACTGGAGGACGCGATGCACTTCACTCACTTCCACGCCAAGCGCCACGTACGCCTGCAGATTTACGTAGTGGCACACGTAGCGGGTTTTTGGCAGCAGAGTGAGCATCAGCTTCTTCTCCTTCTGCTTGCCCAAGCCGAGCTGTTGCGCCAGCTGCTGCTGATGCGGCGACAGCATGTCGTCCGTCACGCACATGTTCTCGGGGCAAGGAGGATACTCGTTTAGCGCATCGTGCACACCATCGGGAATCGTGAGATCACACTCCACGATATATCCCACAGGCAAATCGTGGGGGTGCGTCATGACGATGTCGTCCACGAGATCATCGCTGATGTCCTCCACGAACTTGAAGTCGCCGATGGGCAGGGGCTGCTGCATGGCCCAGCCGTACAGATTATTTGCATCGACGTACTGCAGATACGTCATAGGCTTCGAGGGGTCGTACCCGTCTGGTATAAGATCGTTGTTACCCTCGGCGTACCTCTGCACACTCATGCTGATTCCACCGCGGATGCCGTGCTCGATGAAGGTGTGCATCGTCACGTCAGACAGAAGGTCCAGACTGACGTCGGACACCTTGAGCAGCGCACTCCACGCAAACCCGGGCAGCGTGTAGTAGTTGGCCGGATCTAGCGAGTACGTGGCGATGGCGGTGGTGCGGAAGTTCTCAAATACATCCGCCAGCAAGTACACGTCCGTCTTCAGGTAAAGATCGTGATAATCACGCAGAGTGACACAATCAAACCTGCTCCAGACGGTTTGCGCGTGACGGTACTCGTCATCGGTGATGTGTGCCTCGGACAGCGACGAGTAGAACTTCTCCCGTGGGGGAGACTCTCCTCGTCGAAGCGGCTGAACGAGTCCATGTACTCGTACGGGTATACACCTTTCCGCAGCAGAAGATCCGTCTTCTCGGGATCCCCCTCATGCAGATCACGCATGCGGACGAACGCTTCTCCAGGTGTTGCCTTCGCAAGCTTATCCAGCGAAGTGCTGAGAAAAGCGTACGAGTCGATGAACACGAACTGCCGCCACATCATAGCGATGTACTTTTCCGTGTTGGACGGAACGATGTTGATGGAGCCGCGCTGCTCCGTGTGCTCCTTGTCTCCAGCATCTTGGTACGTCACTTCGTCAATCTTCGCTTTACCGAGATGACTGACGATGTGATGCGCGTCGTACCCCTTGAGATTGTGGAACACCACCGGGATGTTCACCTTGCCGGGTACGATGCGCAGCTGAAGATTACAGGAGTTGTGCGCTGCTCCGCGAAACGCACCCGTCATGTGATCGTGGTCACGCACACGATCCCCTCCGAGACGACGTTTACATATCCAGCAATCCCTGGCGCTGAGAAAACCAGCCTCCTCATCAGGCGTCAGGTTCATAGGGCGACGATTCTCCAAGTCTTCACGAATGGAGACTTCCTGCAGTTCCAGGGAGGTCAGGAACTGCTCTACTGAATCTTCGCCCGTATGCTGGAACGTATCCGTCACGGTGCCATCACTGCGCACGACGATGTATGCGGCAGAACAGGGTATGTGCTCCGAGTGCTGCTTCGTCTTCCCCCAATGCTTTTAGGCTCAGCATGAGGTGTGATGATGCTCTCGAAATCAGCATAAATCACATACGGTGCACGAAGCTGCTTCTCGTACTGCGTGAAACGCAGCTTTTCACCCTTCTGCGGCATCACCGCCCGCGCGATGAGATGGTCTTTACAATGCAGCTGGTGACTCTCCAGAGCCGTCTGAGTACTCAACACGTTCAGACACCGGTAGCACACCTTCCGTGAATGATGACTTTTGTTGTGTACCAGACGACTCATGTTCTTGATGAACACCCAGTGCTGCACGTTACGTTCGTCCTCAGTTTGACCAGAAAACAGGAGCAGATTGATGGCTTCCTGAGGATCGCCTTTTCTGGTCAGACGAAGCGGAACGACAGTCTTCCCATCATCCGATATGCCGAAAACGTTGACGGCGAGATCGACATTGTTCTGCTCCAACGTCGTGATGGCACACATACTAGCTGGAAACTCTACACTGGCAAAGTTCAGCTCGTCAACGTATGGAACGTACTTCGATACTCGAATGTTGTTTGGACCAACATCCTCGTGATGTTTTGCGGCCAGCAGAGCCCACTGCAAACACCGATCGTCGTTGTTGATGACATTGAGGCAGGCTGTCTTAGCCTTGATGTGCTGGGGGAGATGGATGAACGTTCCACCTCCCATCGGCTCAAATTTCGACAATTCCAGATATACGGCTTCGACGTGATCCACGATCCACCCCGATCCATTCCGGACAAACTCATCGATTTGAGCATCGATCTCTGCTGCAGCACTATCCAATTTGTAACGAACATCATCATCATTCAGGATGATGGTGGTTCGCGTGCGCACGAAGAAGCTGATGAACACCTTGTCACCGGTGACACCATCCTGCTTCAACAAGCGCAGTTGAAGGACAATAGCTACTTTGTATCTCCCAAACTCGAGGACGTCATCGCGAAGCAGCTCACTGAGGCTCCTGTCCATCAGCTGCAACAAAACGCTAGCATCCTGGTACTCTCCAGCACCAAGATGGCAGACGTAGTTCCTGAGCATTCTCGCATTATGCTCGAGCTCGAACTCGAACATTCGCATCACTCGGCTTGGTTGAGACATCTTGTAGCTAAATGTACTTTCAACTAAACAAACTTACTTCCACCTTTCTTCATCGAAGGAAAATAAATTATGAGCAAGTAAAAGGAAAAGCATCTAGAGTACTTCGTCCGCGTTCTGTTTGAACGCGTCCAAATTTGTCGTGGGTTCTAGTTGATTCCAGAAACTTTTGCTTGATCGGAGTACGCTGTGTGTACTCTGAGCATAGCGAGGAGTAAAATAAACATTTTTACTACTCCCTTTAGATAATGTGGGCGCGTACGACGCACTCCTCGTAACCTTTTGACCCGCGTACGTGAGACGCGAGGGCTCGGGCGAGCTTTTGATGCGTATCCGGTACGCGGCTCCCGTTTTGCCTGGCTTTGTGGTTTGATGCGTACGAACTTGAAAATTTCAAACTCGTCGGAGCAAGTGGTGTGCACGTATATGGAAGCAATCTTCATTTCCTCAAATCATTTCGTAGTGACAGTGTTCCTTTTTTCATGTAGTCCTGGAATTATTTTCGCCTAGTCGCTTAGTCGGACAAGAGACGGACGGATATCCCTCTTCATCTCCTTGCAGCATTGCTTCGTACAAGGTATGTGATCGTCGGCCATTGCATGTCTATCCGATTAGGATCGTACACAATTCTTGCTCGTAGTCTGATTCCATATATAGACATATTTATTTTTTCGTAATTTTGCAGCGTTTGATTTATTTGTTCGTAATTTTTCGTCGTTTGCAGCTACAACACTATCGTCATACATCTGCGCGTGTGAATGCACATGTGCATCTTACCTGGTGATGAGCATGATCCTCCCCCCGATTGAATTGTTGTATAAATTCGTGCAAGGTAAGTAAAATAGTTTACTAAGTCTTGCTGTTAGGTAAATCGGGGGGAGGATGTTTTTCCACATCTCTCCAGTACCTGTAGACCCGTATGTGATGGTGATTGGGTGGTTACGGTCGTCATCAAAGAGTTGATGGGGGTTGCGATGGTGGTTGTGTTAGCATTACGATAGGATCTGTACACATAACAACAAGATTTGCTAATAGGGTATATAGGACCTGTACACACATAAGATGAATAACGATAGGATCTGTGTACGTAACAACAAGATTTGCTAATAGGGCATATAGGACTTGTACACACATAAGATGATTATTAGGGTTTGCTGAGTGTTGTTGTTGTCGTTGTGATCTGTAGTACCTGCACACATAAAAAGAGTAGAGTTGACATGGCAATAGGATTGTTATGGTGATAGGGTTACGAGGGCTACTAGGGTTATCGTCTCTCGAAATATTAGGGTTATTGGTGGGCTTATAGTCACCAGAAATATTAGGGTTATCTTCATGGTGATAGGGTTATCAGGAATATTAGGGTTATCTTCATGGTGATAGGGTTATCAGGAATATTAGGGCTATCGTCATGGTGATAGGGTTATCAGGAATATTAGGGTTATGGCCATGGTGTCAGGATTATTAGGGTTATGGTGTTATCAGAAATATTAGGGTTATCGCCATGGTGATAGCCCTAGGGTTAGGGTTATCGTCATGTTGATAGGGTTAGGGTTATCAGGAATATTAGGGTTATCGTCATGGTGATAGCCCTAGGGTTAGGGTTATCGTCATGTTGATAGGGTTAGGGTTATCATCGTCAGGAATATTAGGGTTATCGTCATGGTGATAGCCCTAGGGTTAGGGTTATCGTCATGTTGATAGGGTTAGGGTTATCATCGTCAGGAATATTAGGGTTATCGCTATGGTGATAGCCCTAGGGTTAGGGTTATCGTCATGGTGATAGGGTTAGGGTTACAGGGATTATTAGGGTTAATATGCCGCGATTTTTAGGGTTAAACGTACAGATTTAGGGTTAAATCGCACAATTTAGGGTTAAAACGCCCAGGTTTTAGGGTTAAATCGCATTACGTCATCGATGACGTCATGTGTAAAACGCTCCGATTTTAGGTTAAATCGCAAAAATTTACCGTAAATCGCAAAAATTTGCCGTAAATCGGAAAAAAGGGTTAAAACGCCCCGGTTTTTAGGGTTAAATCGCTATGACGTCATCGATGACGTCAGTGAGTTGGTACACGCCTAATACTTTCTACTAACGTACATGTACATGTACAAGCTAATGTGCCTTCAAGACCATCCACACCTCTCTTCGCTCGTGCCGCCTCGCCAGGAAGCTAGCCTCGTCCCGCGGACAAGGTCGCAGCTCCATGTCCGCCATCAGAATCAGCTACAAAAGTGCTCCTTACGACCCCAACTTTCTCGAGCGTTCGTTCCCTTATGGTGAAGTGGATGAATGCAACAGGCTTCCGCAAGACATGTGTCCAGAACCGATGCCCCAGTTGAAGTCTCTCCAATCCTTCAAGACGAAGGTCCACCGCCACTTGCGTCAAAATAATTGGCTCTGGGCTATGGACTCCCTGTCAGGCTATGTCAACCGTCAATGAGCAATTACCCTCGTCCATCATCTCTTTCTCTTTTTTATTTTATTTCTCTTTCTCGTGGCTCCCTTTCTCTCTCTCTCTCTATCTATCTATCTATTTATTTACTCAATCTGCGGACAGCATGCTGTTTCGTTCTTTTATCTATCTCTCTCTCTCTCTCTCTGTCTCTCTCTCGCTCACTCTCTCTCTCTCTCTCTTTATCTCTTGATATCCCTCCCTCCCTAGCTGTATTCCTATCGATGACTGGTCGTAGACTATGATTCCGAGACCTCCGGTCAGATGAGCCTTGCAAACCACATCGGCGCTTTGCTCCTACTCCCCTTTGTCTTGTTGTCCAGTATCATTTCAGTTGTCCTCTTCCCCTGATTATTAGTAGGGCTGTGTTTGCTAGTAAAAAAAGAAAAAGATAAAAGTGCTCCACAGAAACAACATAAAATTATTACAGAAATAATGCAAGGGGGGGGGGGAAGGGGTACTAAAGGTAAAGTAGGTAAAATATGAGGGAGTCTAGAAGTGAATGGAAGGGGGAACAGAGTACGAGCATTTTCGTCTTTTGTCTTTAGTTCGTAGCCTGTCCATTGCCCACTCCCAGCGGGTTATGTCCAGGTGGGCAATGACCTTCTCTTTGAACATCTGCAATTCTTTCCTTGTTCACGGGTTCAGCAGAACACACTGCAGGGGCTGGTTCCAGACCTCCACAACATGCTGGGGGAAGGAAGAAAGTACATCATTCCGTTCTCTGAGGGGAAGAATGGGAGTGAGCTGAAACTGGTGTGATGAATGCAGTTGTGTGCTATGGCTTGGTGTGTTGGTAGCTCAGGGGGGAAGACGGGCGAGGAGCATATCTGGGCCTGTTGAACAATGGAGCTTGTACAGAAAGCAGAGTGCTCCAAGCGTTCTGGGAATGCCTAGGCTAGGGAGGTTTTTCTTTGTTTTTCCATTTTTCTACAATCATTGATCACGGCTCTCGGGCAAAGACTCAAAAAATGCATAGTGGGAGCATAGTGATGGTGAGGCTTTCTGGCCTCAGCCGACCTGAGGTCTCGACATGTTGAGTACATAAACGCACCAAAAAGAACGAAGAAGAAAAAATGAAAGAAGTCGCAAGTACATGATACTAAATGTTAGGAAGAGAGACAGTACATTAGAAGGAGGGGAAAGATAAGACAGCGAGTGTTAGGAGGAGAAGGAGAGAAAAGAAGGACACACGTTATTGGAATGAGCAGGTGGAGCGGATTTTGAAAATCATGGGGTGAGGCAGATATGATGCTGATACTCAGAGATGATCATGTGCCCACGATCAGTCGTTGGTCTTCTAACAGCGGTTGGCTGCAACCTTGAAATGCTGCAAGTTCTTGGTGCAAAATGGACCAGAGAAGTCTCTGGCGGGCAGCTGGTTCCAGACGGGGAAAACTGCGCGAGGGTAGGCTCGACATAGGTTGTTTCGGGAAGGGACTGGAGGTTTATTTGCCTGTTGGTGTGCGTGGGCATTACATCTTTGAAACGCACTACGGGTGGAGTGGACTGTTTGGGATTGGGCTGCTGGGGTGGCAACATCCTCTGTAGAAGGCGATGTGCATCTGGACAATGCATATTGTACAGGAGGCAAAGGTATGGTCCCTCACCGATTAGGCGATGGCCACCCTGTTGGATGGGGCGAGCCAGAGTGGTGTGTGCCCGGGCGGACAAAGCGCTTGCAGATCACACAATGACACCTGGAGTCCAGCACTCGGGAGGGAGTCCGGAGGAAGCCGAGATGCTGCGATCCTCAAATAGCCAACTTGAAAACATACCAGATCTCTTCAAAACATTGGACTTACGAGCTTGTTTGAGGTGACGCAAGTAACTTATTATCGTGTTCCAGGCTAATGAAGCTAAGGAAAAAAATGTTGATGGGAAAAACCTCAGGCTCTTCAACAAATTTCTGAAAACTAATGGTTTCGCGAGTAAACTTCCGTGCCTTCTCCTAAGGTGATATATAAGCAAGAGGAAACAAGTGCAAATACAATGAATTCTGAACTCGGATGGTGAGCCAATTAAATTATAGTTGAAAAGGAGAAGGACAAAATGTTACGAGTTACGACTAACTGTCCACCAACCACCATCTTGTCGCACTCGCTGACTGTATAAGATCTGGTTACGTTGGTGGACAGTTTAACTTGTAACATTTTATCCTTCTCCTTTTTCACCATAATATATTTGGCTCACCATCCGAGTTCAACTTTGCATACCTAATGAGCCGCCATAACCTATACGGCGAAACGTACGTCATGCGGAACAAATTGTTATTGCACACAACTAGTCTATCATATTTACATGATACAGTGTAGTGAAGTTCAGTAGAATGTTGACGTTTCGGTTTGTCACAATTCGTCTTCGCTTAGATTCCCCTTTCTTTGTTTTCTACATAAACTTGAGCCTCCCAAGTTGGGTGGTTTGTTGCGTCGTCGAGTTGTAGTAAGGCCGGTATGTTGTCAGTTATGTGCCATTTTTGCCGCAACTCTGCTGGCATGGACATAACAAAGAGTGGCTCCACAGTAGCAGAACAACTAGAGGTGTCGACCA